TATTTGGTGGCAGCTTTGTGGCGATTTGGTAAAGTTTCAGTGGTGGAATAGCAAAAAAATAAGCACTTTCAGTAAAGCCTATACTACTTGTTGTCACTTCTATTCACAATAAGATAAGTTTCTAACTCTTGATGTGTGTTTTCGATTTAGCCATTTTCTCATTTTAACTTTTCTACCGACTAGCCTAGAACCCTTTTAATGCCAATTCTCTTAAGCAATCCTTGGTTCTCTCTTGTAGTCGCATAGCCTAGTTACAGTTTACTTTGGTATACTAAATACAAAGTAAAAGTTTATCTGTTAAATGTTACTTTATTGTTTATTACTTAATACATTCTAACTTTCAACTTGACTTTTCTTTTCATATGTTATTGAATGGCACATGTATTTATACATGTACCTATTATTTACATGTTTATGTCTGATCGCCATTCTACATGACTTTAGAAATTTCTACCAATAAATTTTTCCACACCTAAACTTATTCATCTCTAACTTTTCCCACTATCGATCTTATAACACTCTAATTATGTAACGCGATGGTATGTCACATTACTGTACCTACTTTTTACTCATAACAATATATATATACAGTATATATATATATATTATTTTATTACAAATAAGTATTAAATATAAGATTTTATTAAATATATGTTTGCTATTATTATATTAAAAATTTTTGTAATTATGTGGGACTATTCAAACTCTTCTCTACTATTATTGTTTTTAAGGTTGAAATGTAATAATTTGATTTGGGTTTCTTCTTAAACTCTATAAAACAAATTCACAATTCATTAATGCACATTTATAATAAAACAACTACTTAAATTGTCACTTAGTTTCTTTTGCAAAAGTTCTTTCTTTATTTTTGATTTAATCTTTTCTTTATATACAGTACATGCTAATATCATAATAAAATTATAACAACTATAATAATTATTCTAACTATTCTAACTATAATCACTATAATTGCTATATTCAAGAAAAGACATATATGAAATAAATCAATCATAACAAATATATTTCAAATTTGAGAGATTTGAAATTATCATAACATCTGTTCATGTAATGATGCAAATTTCTTTTTACAATTAATACAAATTAATTATAAAATATTACAATTATATTATTGCTCTTAACTTATATCATAAAAATGTGTTTATAGAAATAGTATCAAATAATTAATATTATATATATAATAGAATTGAAATTAAATATTTTTCAAAAACTATATTATATTAGATTTATTAAGTAATATATAGTAAATAATTAGAAATTGTATTTAATTTAAAATTATATTATCAATCGAATTTTCTTTTATAATAATAAGAAAATATATATAGTTAATATTTATTTGTAATAGAATTTTTAAAAATACTGAATTGATATCAAACTGATATTGAAATAATACTAATTTATAGTAAATTTAATATAGGATTGTAACTTACTTATAAATTTATAGTAAATTTAAGTATCAAATTAATATTGAAATAATATCAAAGTAGTATTTTTAGAAGCTTTAATTTAAAGTAATAAAATAACTGTGGAATTAAAAATAGAATTTATCTATAAAATTATTATTTGTAATTAAAATATTTTTAATTTTTTGAAATATAAAATTAGAATTGGAATTGTTTAAAGCTATGCTCTTTGATGCTTTTGTTTTTTTTATTTTATTTCTGAGACTAATATTATGAAGCCTGTTTCCAATTTTGTTTCCATATTTTATAAAGAATTTTGAGAGCCATGTTTGAGATTTTTGCCATTTTTTAAATTTGATCGAAAGGTGGTTGAAGTTTTCCAAGAGCTAGGTCAAATATTATAGGATTTGTTAGGATAGGGACCAAAGAAGAGTTTGTTTGCAAAGAGTTTCTGTGAGGTGCTAGTTAATTAGTATGTATAGTTTATTTTTCTTTTTGTTAATATATTTAATTGCATAATAGTACAAGAATACATGTTTTGTTGTTTCTGGATATGTGTCACATCAAAGACAAAAATAGGTATCATAAAGATCGGGGTATCTTTGGTGTAGTCTGACTTTTGTTAGGATTTGGTTTGAAATTAGTTTGACTCTAAAGGTTGCCAGTGATCTGAATTTGATTTTATCAGCAATTTTAATCTTCGATAATTACTTCTAGGTCAGACAGTAAAACAACACATATTTGTGATGCCAATACACATATAAATACACATATTAATAAAAGGACAAAGTTCTATTTTATATTATTGTTTGAAAACGAGGTATCAATCCCTTTCATTTCAGATATAATTCTGTGCTCGTAATAGTGCATTTTATTTTCAATTTCATCAACATACAGGAATTCATTCGTATAAGAACCTCAACGATATTTATTTATTTGGGTTTATTTTGGACGATATTTTTATTTTTAATACTTCCTATTTGTTTTTTTAATTACTATCTCTTGAAAAATCCTTTGTCAAAATAGCGATAATTTATTTCATTCGAATTATTAATCCGTTTACAGTATCATAAATTCGAATGGTTTATACAGTAAATGACGGTGATACAAAACAAAAAAAAACAATATGCTGTAGGTACGCTTATGTTATCAGGCTAACGGTTGACTACGTACAAATTTACGCATAACCTGCAGATAAAAAAAAACCTGATAAAATAAGATGACATAAAAGGTAATTTGAGTCGTCTGAAATTTGTTGAATACTTTAAGCGATTTTGCTGCTGGTTTGACTCTTTGATTACTGTATAACAATATTGTATATGTTATAGTATATCATTGACCATTGTGAAATATTTGTCACGCGGAAAAATCTTTGCAGTACTATAAATGAACTTTATTTTTATTTTTCCATTTTAATTTAATTTTTTTCCATCAACAAGTTCAACGCCTTCAATTTAACCAAAGTTGGGATCATGACTAATTAGGAAAAAAATAATGGCATCCGACCATATGCATTTGCATTTACGTGACATATTTTATATCACACATCATCCTAAAGTTGAGTATCTTGTGCTAACTACCGTATAGAATGACAACAGTTAAAAAAAGAATTACCGAAGCCGCCATTTTGTTCAATAGTTCTAATGGTCTTAAATAAGACGACTTTGTATTAATTACAAGTGTAAACCCACGAAAAATATATACTGTAAGTGCAAACATTGATTTGCAGATACAGACAACTGTATGATTAATCCCGGTCAAACATCATATTTATAGATTTCTTTCTTTCTTTACACACGAAAGAAGAGGCATTTTGATTTTTTTTTTTAAAAAAAATGTAAAGGGGACGTAATTAATTATTTTTTTTTTTAAAAAAAAATTTTTTTTTTCTTAATCATAAAAATTGACCGTTTGTCAGTATTATCTTTATTATTAACTACAGTAATCGAGTTTCAATATTACAATGATAGTTGCACATGAAGTTCACCTCACATTAGGTATAGACTAAATAGGAACATTTGGACACAAAGAATTTTTAAAGGGATCATATGAGATGAAATCAAATCCAGTTTAAACGAAAAAAAAAAGATGACTTGAAAACGATGTACAACATACAATACAGAGTATTTTTCTATTACTGATTTATATAAAGGTGAAGATGTTTCTCATGTGACAACGGTAATCATTCATTATAAAAACGCGGTTCTGACACTTTAAACGCTTTACACCTTTATTTCTGTCATAATGTCTGAGTCTATAACGTGGGAACGGATTGACGAACATTTTGAAAATATACTTTCGAGTAAAAAAACAAGTGAAATACCAGAATTTCATAAAAAGTATTGCAATATATGGACGAAGGAGACTGAAAATTTTTCCAAAGAAGTGAGGGTAAACTATAAACTAATTGAACTAATCGTAGAGAGTCAGTTACCGAATGAGAAGATTAGGGAGAACCTTGAGAGAAGAAGTTACATTTTGGTAATTATATTATTGCCGTTTGCTTTATGGTCATTCATTTTCACTCTTACTTTTCGTTTGTCTAATTTGTGTACCTTTTGATATACAGGATGTCGATAACTCTTTCGAAAAAGCGATGTCAATGCATACATTCTTCGTTACACTGGAAGATGAATGGGATAGAAAGATCAAAAAGGTGAAGAAAAGTGAATTGAACCCAAAGAACTGGCCGAAAGTTGATGATGAGGTCATTGTGGATATTCCCGATGAAGTAGTCATACAAAAGGAAATTCAAGCGATGAAAGAAAAAAAGAATCAGCATATCAAAAAGGCAAAGAAAAAAGGTTTCGAGATGATTGGATACGGCACTGCCGCGATCATGGGCGCTTCAGCATCGATAATGTTTCCGCCGGTGATGATCACAATTGGCATTTTAGGTTTGTTTCAAGTCTCGTACTGCGGATATACCGTGGCCAAAGAACTTTACAAATCTTATGGTAATACTGATACCTCCGTAGATCAATTACTCAAATACTGAATTACTGAGAACGTTTTAAAAATAGATGCGAACAAAAAATTGAATAAGATGATGAAATTAAGGTCTAGCTTTTTTGATAAGCCAGGTAAGATAAAGCATCATATTTTTGCTTATGAATCATCGTAATGATATGAGATTGTATTTGGTAGCATCCGAAATAATCAAGAGTACCAGGCTAGAACCGGAACCAGCAACACGTAATTACCCAGGTGAAAAAGAAATGACGGTTTTATCTTTAGGGGAAAAAGGAAAACCGAATTATTCTGTGAGACAAAATATAACGGAAAAATCGAATGAAGATCACATGAAGAGAGTACAGGCGCAATCAGAATTTGAAAAAATAATCGAAGGAATGGACCTTTTCCACGAAATGATATTGGTATTCCACAAGACCTGGAAGGAAGCTTCAAAAAGGATTGGACTGGCAAAAGATGACTTAATCAATAATATCGGTATGTTGAAAGAAGCTACCGAAACATTGAAGGTGATTAGCGTTGATCACTAAGAAATTTTTAGACATTATTAAGCAATAAATACGTACAAGTGGTTTTCACTTTCAATGTTATTTTTAAACAACTTACTAAAGTTATATGACGAATCCAAATTTGTAAGATGTGCATAGTTCGAGTTTTACTAACAAATAATTACTGTATATAACTTACATAACACTAAATACAGCACAAGGTTTTGGGATGCACTGATGTTTTTAGAGGCACGATACATAGTATTTTGCGTGTTTTTTTTTTTCCTTTTCTTTCATTTTCATTTTTGTTGTTATTGGTAAAGTGCATACGTAAACGAGATTTTAGATCATCTCTGCGGAAAGTATCGGATCAAATATGGTGAAAATATGCACCGGAAGGTGACCAGAATCAATCATATCGTTATTTATAATCGGTGATAATATTCCCATAAATACTGTATAACGAATGCTGCATATCTTAATGAATCGTTCATTATAATAATCGGTCAAACAATGGTAAACACACGTGGACAAAAGTGATCAAAAACTTGTTCTGGTAATGTAGTGAAACCATTGGAGGTATATAATCATTGTTTGAACAACTGATCGTTGAATAAGAATGGCAATCGTGAAACCAGTCTAGGCAAATATGGGTTGCAGAATGAACTAATAGACTACTACGTGCGAAAATTCAATTGTTTATCTGATAAGACTATTTACTGTACATACACAAAAGAATGTATGTACTGTACGTTACAACAAACTTTAAACTATTTACTGTACGTTACAACAAACTTTAAACTATTTACTGTACAAGACGCAATCAAGATATTGCATTCAATTAACGGGAAATCCATTATTGAGGAGATGCAATAATGAATGCATAATGGTTTCCAATTATCACATAACTTAGATAGCATCACTCTCATAATTTTAAGATGATTCAAAATGCAAAAATTTTTAATTTTCTTTTAATCTGATTTATCTTTACATACATTTTTTAAAAAAACTTTTTTTAATTTGTACTTTTGTAGTCTAGACGGTACGATTATATTTTATGAATTGTAAAAGCTATAATTGCGTGACGATCATATTGACTACTGTAACCAGCAGAAATTCAAATTAAACAACCGAAAAAATATGTATTTAAATTTAATTAATAATTGAAACTATTGATTGTATAAGATAATTGTAATTCAAAAATTAATGTATCATATAAATATAAAAATATAATGAAATCAAAAATAGAAATCAAAATACATCTATTTATAATTTATAGAAATCAATATATATATATAATTATAATTTATAATCAAAATATTTTTTTCATTTATTATCATCACAAAATTTTTTATTTAAAAAAAAAACACATTCTGAAATTCAAATCATCATAATAACGAAAAAGAAATAAAATCCTAATATGATTGATTATATATATTATGTAGAATAAATTATAATATATACTATATATTGTTGACAATTTCAATTTTTTTCTAATTTAATTCTTTATTAACAATTGAATTCATTTTTTTAATAAGTAAGTATCATTTCTTTATTTGATTTGTATAATATATAATATACAGTATATAGCAAAAAAAATAACATTCTTTATATTATTTCAATAAGCTTAATATTTGCTTATCAGTATAAAACATTGAATTAATATTAAAAAAAATTTTTAAAAAATATTATTATACTATCTATTCAGAATAAACTAATAAAATGAAAAATATTATTATTATTGATTATAAAAATAAAATATAACATAGTATAATAAATTCATGTATAAATAAGTATTTTTAAAAAATTTTTAATGATTTTTTTTAAATATATAATTTTAACAATCTTTTATTTATTTATTGTAAAAAATAAAAAAAAAATTATAATAACAACAAATAATATTCTTATTTAAATAAAATATAGTTAAAACTTGAAAGATATTTAAAATATTTAAAATATTTGTTATTTTTAAAAGTTTTTTGTGTGTATAAATATACTGTGAATATATATTAAATAAATAACAATAAAATATATCTTTTTATCAAATATTTTACTTATTATCTAATATTTTTACTTGTTTTTGTTATATCCAAATATCTTTATTTAATATTATTTAAAATAAATAATAAATTAAAAATAACAATAATTTTAATAAAGTTTATTTAATAAATTATATTTGTTTTCAAGTTAAAAAAAATTTATATTTTTTTTTAAAATACTAAATACAATAATTACAATTAATAACTATTTTAATTTTCTTTACCACAAAAAAAATAATAATACACAAACCAAATGTGTCATATCTATACAAGTTAAATGTCAATTACTGAATATTATTTTGACTAGTACTATTAAGAACTCTTCAGAAAATCCTATCTAAATCAAAAATTTAATGTCTACTTCAAATAAATTACAAAAAAAAAGTTTAAAAAACCACTACTATCTAATCTGAAAAACAAGTTATCAATTCTACAAATCTTTTCTAACACATATAACCCCTCTACTTTTATCAACTATACACATTCCACTAGTGTAATGCAATAGATCAAGTTTATTAACTACTATACTAATTTTTTTAACATTATGCTTAGTCAGTTAACAATTTATAAATCTATGACAATATTAGCTCTTAAACTTATTTTTAAAGCAAACAAAAAATTGAGAAGAAGCAATCAGTTAAAGTTTAAAAACCTATTGATCTTTAAAAATAAACTTATTGCTAATCAGCTATTAACAAGAACAAAACTTTACAAAAGATGTCTAAACCTATATAAAAACAACCTTTGTATATAATGTAAAGCATATTTGAAGGATCAGCTGCATATTTTCTTATGTACTTATACTTTTTCAACAACTAGAAAAAAGAAAAAAAAACTCATTACTCTGTTAAACAAAAACTCTTTAGATCGGAAGAGCGTCGTGTATCTGAAAACTCTACTTGACAAAATTCAAGAAAACAAAACCATACTCTTCAATAAGACACGTAAAATATTATACAAAGTCTGACTAAAATATTTGTCACTGTTACCATATTATTCTCCTTAGGAATAAAATTGAAAAAAATCAAAACCACAACAATAGAGCACAAACAATACAATTCACAGTACAACTTTTTATAAAATACTTAATGCACTAGAAATTAACTAACAAAAAAATTTTTATTCTTGCTATTATCCCATCCTTTTTAAATAGATATTAGGTATTCAACACTATAAGTATAAATTCACTTACCTGATAACAATTGATACTATTAACTAATTGCAATAAGCTAGTAATAATTTATAATGCATATAAAGATTTTTAATATAATGGCTATAAACTTTCATTTTAATAAAAGTTTTATATTTAATATCTGTTTATAATTATAAATTCATATTTATTAATCAAGCTAAGTAAATATTGAAATTCCTATAGAATTTACTTTATTATAGTTGTTGTTTTTTAGCAGATTGGCTCTTTTTTAAAGTTTTTAATGCTATTGTCTATAGAAAATGTTTCCCAAAATAAATAAAAGAACTTATATAATAAGGCAGTTACATATTGGATAGAAAGATATTAAAGTGTGTTTTGAATAGTTTGTTTAAAACATAATTTTATTATTTAAGTTATTCAACTTAAAATTTAATAATAAGCTCTTGTTTATTAGTCAAGAAAAAAATGTTTTTAAATTCTAGTTTAATATTCTAAGAGTAATTGAAAAGATCTGATTTTTAATAAAGTATAAAAACAAAAAGATATCAAAATTATAAATAGCTTTTAAACTGCTTGTTATAATATTCAGTTTTTTTAACGAGTGATAATCAAATGCTTTTGGATAATCTAATTTTTACTGATTTTAAAATATCTTTAAAATTTCTAAAAGATCTGATAAATTGATTTGAATATGTTCTTTATATATATTATAAATTTTATAATAGTTAATTTTTGGGAAGGAACTATTAATAAAGAAATTAAAACAATATTTAAACAATTTAGTAACTTGTTAAAATTTAAAAAAAAATAATCAATAAATTTGAAATATTTGATAAAAATATCTTATTAATAATTATTTTGATTATTTTGTTATTTTTGTAATATAACTAATGCTATTTGTCTTTAAGTAATTAAAGTAAAATTATTTTTTGAATTTTTTATACACTATTTAATATCAATCTTAAATTATATTTTCTTATATATTTGGTTTTTGAAAATATATCTTTAAAAATATCTGAGTGTGCTTATAGATTTACTTTTTATTTTTAAAAAAATCAATAATAAAATTAACAAATCATTTATTGTATATTGATTTAGTTTTTTATAAAACTTAATTATTTTGTCTTGTTTAAATAAAAATATAATATTTCTAATATTAGTTATAATTAAATGAAAACTATTTTAAATTGATTATAATATTTAATTAATTTTATCAATATATTGGTATTGATTGTTTATAAGATTTTATATAATAATTAATAAGCAGAAATAATACTAATAAAACCTGTATACATTGCTGTTAAATTATTAACAATATTGTTTAAATTAGTATACACTGTTGTTTAATTATTAAATGAGCTATATAAGAACTAAATTGATTGTTTTTATATTCAGTAATTAATACATATTATATTTTATTTATATAGTCAAGCTATAATATACTGTATTATTATTAATTTTTTTTTAATTAAACAAAGATATTTGAAAATAACATTTTTAACAGTACTATTTTAATGCCAAATTAGTATTAAATTTAATATGAGTTTGATATAGTGAATCAATACTTATGTATTAAATTTATAAGTTGGTACTATATTATTTTAGTATTATTTCAAAATCATTTTGATATTAGTTCTGAATTCTACTTGTAAGAATATAAAGATTTTAATTTTTTTTTGTAAATAGACATTGAATATAAGACCTTTATCAAAAAGTTTTGGTTTTTAATTAATATTTATATAAAGTTTATTTTAAGAAATATATAAATTATAATTTTGTTTTGTTTTAAAAATTCTTTATGAATATATATTGATAATCAAAAAAAAAGTTATGAATATCAAAAAGCATTG